CTGCACGTAGAGGTACGCTGGACACTCGCACGTACAAAGTAAAAATAGCCACAGCAATGCAAGACAATTACACGCCCCGGTATCCATTGTCAATTTTTTTTGCCGGCCTGCCTAAATCAATTACCAGAGTGCCCCAGTCGGTGCTCCCAACGCATCTATCTTGAGACGCCCCCACAATCCGGAAACCGTTGCCTCAGCCAGCAGTCGGAAAAGGGCCCAGCCCATGCAAACCCAAAGCCAATGCAATCCTAACGGGCAAAAAGCGAGGCTCATTCCTTGGCATCGCCTCTTATTAGCATGGCAGACAGCCACCATTCCTGAAATCATCGCCACAGTCCACAACACACTACCCGGACCTTGACATACACATTTGATGGGGTCGTTTTTGTTTGTTTACAAAATTTGTTTTCAGGTATAATTATGGGCCAAAACGCTGCTAAATTTGCGTTGTTGCAATCTGCAGTGTGGGTAAATAAACAAAGGTGACTTTAAAAGCCAGAAAATAATTTACAAAAGTTTATCAGTGGACAATTACCCCTTGATTTTGTGTATGTTAATTGAAAGACTGTATTGCGTATTTGCTTGATTAATGTTTGTAATAAATCTGTTAAATTTATTGTGTATGGAAATGCATTTTAATTTATTGTGTTACAATTTCTCTGCTTGAAAAAACTTGCTCTGGATCCAAAGTGCGATACAGTGCATTACTGGCATACATAGGTGGAGAAGCACTTATTTCTGGGCAGGTGCCCCACCGAAATATTAACTAGGAACACAACCCGCTACCCCACCCACCCCACGGCTCTCTCTCTCTCCGTTTATATCATTTCTATCTCCGTATCTGTGCGTCTCTCTACGTGTCTATGTCTGCGTATGTCTCTACATCACTGTGTTTCCTCTCTCCCTCCATGTCTCCGCGAGTGTTGAGAGGCTGTTGGTAGTGACCCCCCCCCCCCATCTCTACCCCATCTCTCCCGCACATCTTTGCCCCCCATCCTCCCCCCCCCCTAAAATAATTTAGTTCCTTCACATCCAAAATAATATACCCACAACACCGTAAACTTGAAGCAAATTTGACGAGATGGAAAATTACAATTTGGCCATTACATCAATGAACGATTCGCCATCAACCGTGACAGCCACTGTTTGCTCTGTAGCGTACAGCCATTGCAATGACAGCATTAGTTATGCTACACTGGTCAACAGCTGACACCCAATTCGTGAGTCCCATTAGCCAGGTTGGGATGTACTAAGTTCGAGTAGCGCAGTCATTAATTAACGTTACCTGTTTTTTTCTTTCACCCGATGGGCCCGAATGCTGTTTTTCCGCCTCCGTAGCTTGAAATGCTCACAAAACCGTGGTGGGGGATTTATTACGGTTATATATTTAAATGTTTAGGGGTTGTTTCTAATGCCTGGAATGTACCATATACTATTGTTTGCTATATAAGGTACAGCAATTGCACAGCATTAGTTATGCTACGCTGGTCAACAACAGACACCCAAGCCCGCAAAGCTTTTGCAAGTGCCCAGGGAAGATTTGTAATGGATTGTTATTCAGCTGTTCAATTTGAATCCACACGTTAATCCACGGGAATGAGGGGCACGGTAAATATAGTTGATGTTTCGTCTCAGGGTGTAATGTATTAAATGCTCGCAATAAACAATGGGCACCACAAACATCCAGCAGTCAAAGTTGTGTTGGGCAGTAGCCACATACTTCAGAACCACAGTGTTTGTGATGATTTGCGTACATTTGAACTATTAATGGATCGTTAAAGATCGTTTCATATTAGGCTCAGCTTTAACAACACGTGTTTTTAACGGATTTTATTTATTAAAAGGTCAGTGCATTAACATGTTTAAACTTACCAACCACTGTCATAAGTTATAAAATAAATACGCATGATTTAGAGCTTTTTGTAAACTCATTGCTGGAAGTCTATACCAGACACTGTACAATTCAAGGGGCTATACTTCACTTGGATCAGTGCATTGTTAGCACACGGTACTAACATTGCACTGTGGTAGTAATAATAATACTACATAACAAAACACGATTCTCTCCTAATTTACTTCTTCAAGTGATGGCTTCACCAACAGACGAATTCAGTTTTGATCGACGGCTGGGAAATACTGTTAAGCCCTCTGTCCTTGCCGTGTTTGCATTGAGCCATTTCACACGAATACAATATGTTTCACCTGCTCAGCGCCCACAAGCACGGCACGCAAACAGACGAGACACGGGTGCTCTTAGTATTGTCCTGATGAATAATTACCACGCTCTTCATCTCTGGGTTGTAACTTTACACGGTTATTTCCATCGCGTCCCTCACCACTGAAGTCTATACCCCCCCCCCCCCCCCCCCCCCCCCATGAACGTCTCGTGTGTGTGTGTTGTTCGTGAACCACAGCCGCTTTGGTCCTCACTGAGTTAATGCGCCTCCCAGTGGCCGGCTTCATCACCACCATAAGCGCCCATCAGCCACGACTATTCCACTGCTAGATGAAAGTCTCCCCAAATCCGGCTCCATCTTTGACGGTTCTGCGAACTAACATTCCACCGAGCACCTGCACACGAGATAATATTTGAATTGCTCCGTCTCCTTGGAGGGATGTCTTCTCGGAGGCGTTGCATTCCTTGGCTGCCACGACGAGGCAATTAGAGATACCACTAATAGGTAGTCAGGGCTGTAATGATTCAGCCACCACATAATAACCCTTCCCCCACCTCCAACAACCGTAGAGTCGAATCCCCTAACTCAGTGGTTGTGTGGTGCCCGGGACCACCAGGACGGTCCTCCAGGTGGGCCGCGATGGTCCACCAGGTGGGGGTTGTGATCGAAATGCAGGTTGATCCGGATAATAATAATGACAACGTTTATACCTTTTTGTTTCGGATATTAATTTATATTTTACATATCATATATATTGTAAAACCTTTGTAAACCACCCTGATTAAACTACGCTTACACAAATATCTAAGTGCCTCCCTTAAACAAAAAATACCTTTAAAAATAGTTTTTTTAAATCTTGAACCATTTTGTAATGCTGGCATTTAGAGATAAGTGATTGCGTTTTGTCGGTTTTCAGTGTTTTTATTTTGGTATAGCCCTGTGAGCCATTCGGCTCTTGAATCGGGTGCAATCACAACAAACAAAAAAACAAAAACACGAACAAGAAAAACATCTTAAAGTGACTATGTCACCAGGGCTGTAAATGTTTGCATCGGCCGAGTGGTCCGCGGTCCAAAACAGTTTGATGATTGGTAAAAGCTTGTAGCACAGATGCACGGGAGCACAGATACGAACGTAGAGGTAAAATACAACAAAAGGAATTTTTAGCAATGCCCTCTGCTGCCCACAATGTATCTCGGCAGCAGCCTATAACTACTCAATCCTGCTTAACTTCCGAGATCTGGTGATTTGCCATATAAAATCGAATCAATAAATGTATTATATATTTTGTCAACATTGTAATGGATGTAGCGGCCACCAAGTGCCTGTGAGGGCAACGTGAATTACATTAAAATACAACATACTATACTCATGAATTGATGGAACGTACACGTATTACACCACCCGATTGAATGCCTAATACAGTAATCGATATCGATCGATGAGTAGATGTATCGTTACACTGAGACTAACTAACCGACGGCATGCTGTCAAGAGCCCTCTGCCCACGCGTTTACGACGTTGGCAGTAGGCACGGTGTTTTCGGAACAGATCCGTAACTGCGTGTGCACATTAGCGACACGCGGTGTATCAAAGAGGTCACATTAATCCTGCGCGAGTCACGATTTCATATGATATTCGTAATTACAATTGGCACTTATGTGGTGTATTTCACAATGCAACGGGGAACCACGACACACACACACAAAAGTTGACAAACGCGGACATTTATCCAAGAACGAATATGGTGTCGGGAGGCGCAGTGGTTATAGCACCCTGCGCTATTCTGAACCCGGCCACCTGAGTTCGATTCCCTGGCCACGTCTAACATCAGTGGCGAGTGTTAGCCGCTCTTCGGACCAACATCCCTTTCATAACCCGCACTAATCGCCGTGGTGAAGTATGGTCAAGTAATTTTCATGACCGATGCGGTGTGGGGAAACTTCCATCCAGCGGTGAATTGAGGGCTGTATTTTGTTTCCCCTTATACTGTAAAGGCTTAAGATAACGATCCCACCTGTATGTCTTCATGAAATATGCTATTCTTAAATACGCAACATTATTTTCTTCAAGTGTAATATCTTACGCGGACACAGTGACATATTTATGAACCGCGCCGGAATGCCGTCCATCATACACACGGTACAATACGCACACGAACAACACAAATCACGATTCCCACGTGGACAATGCAAGTCAACATCCAAAGAAGCCTGCCCTGCCGTTGGATTTCGAAGTGGCATGAAACATCAGAGGGGTGGAGCGGTGGCGCAGTGGTTTGCGCATTGCGCTGTGGGCCCGCATGGGTTGAAATGCCGATCACCGCTCAGATAAGTGGCGAGTGACATCTGAACCGGCCCTTCACCAACCCACACTGACCAACCTGATGAATTCTGGTGAAACAACCCCCATGATCAACACGGTGTGGGAGGACTTGCCTTCATCCAGCAGTGGGTTGACAAAGGTCTGTGAATAACATCAATTATTATTATTATTAGTGTACGACGTAAGGCCCTTACGAATGTACTGGCATGGGCCGTTTCGCAATCTCGCCCATGCTCACCGCCAAGCGTTACCGTCACGAATCTGGCTCGAGCACAGTGAGCAGTAACTCCGCAGTCAGCGCGTGCTTCACTTGATACCTCACTCACTGGGACTCCCCGTTGGGCAAGCGACGCACAACGCGTGCGTGAGTTGTGCGCGCGCGCGTCCGTGTGCGCACGCGTGCGTGTTGTGGGGTGTGTGCGTGCGTGTGTGTGGGTGTGTGCGTATGGGTGTGTGGTCACGCCACCGGGGTGGGGGTGGGGGAACAAGTGTTGTGACGGAGCGATCTGAGCTCAGTGGGGGGACGGGACGAGCTCGGGGGATCCTCCTCCTACGCAGAGCGCGCGTGGAGGTGCACTCGGCTCAACGCCAGGACACTTCAGTTGCTGCGGCGGGGTGCGGCGCAGCGTTGCGGACCGCTAAGCCTCGACGAGACTCCAAGGCAAGATCATCGTGGACCCGATTAACAGGGCGGCGTGAGAGTACCCCAGCTACAGGTCGTCGTGAACGCAGGCTCAACGCGAACGCTTCACTTACAGCGCGGCTCAGCGTGTGGACAAACAACAGCACGGCCATGCGACCAAACACGGCGGCGTGAACACAACTCGGCGTGAACACTCAACCTGATTTAAATCACGCATCGTGGACACTCCGCGCGGCGTGAGATTACCGCTCAACTTCGAGCGCAGCGTGGGAGCAACCGAAGCTACGGCGAAACCCTGGACAGAGACACACTTGCTAAGCTGTAAAAGACGATTCACCATGAACGCTTAACCTACAGCTTCACCGCTGCATAGTGTGGACACTTAAGAGCTGCGGCGCGAGGTTACCTGCGCTACAGGGCACCGTGAACACAGCAGCTGAGCGACCTGCACGCGTGCGACAGCTCAACGACAGCTCGCCGTGAACAACGGCAGCGGGCAACGAGATCAGCACCATGCAGCGCAGCGTTACCCGCAGCACCCTCGCGCCCGGCGTGCCGGTGGACGTCAGCTGTGGAAAGTAACACAAATGCGACGACGAGAATATTATCGTTATAGTAGTGCTTCTGGCGGAGGGTTAGGGCAAACACTTCAGCGATGCTCAATTTCCAAGTGACCCCGCACGAGGACGCCACCCCGCCGTGCGTCGTGAGGAATTCGTCCGCGTGGAACGACAGCGAGCCGGCGACGTCGGTCGGCGTCAACTGCTCGTCGGAGGGCACCGGCCAGAGGCCCGTGGAGATGGAGTGGATGGTAGGCCTGGGCATGCTCATGTCCCTCATCGTGCTCTTCATCGTGTTCGGAAACGTGCTCGTCATTACGGCCGTGGCCAAGTTCCGGCGGCTGCAGACGCAGACCAACTACTTCGTGGTGTCCCTGGCGTGCGCGGATCTGCTCATGGGTCTCATCGTGGTGCCGTTCGGCGCCACCCCCGTGGTGTCGGGCACGTGGACGTGGTATTTCGGGCCACGCTTCTGCAGCTTCTGGACCGCGGTGGATATCATGTGCGTGACGGCGAGCATAGACACGCTGTGCGTGATCGCGGTGGACAGGTACATCGCGGTGGCGAGGCCGCTGCGTTACGAGACCCTGATGAACAAGAGGAGAGCGCGGTTCATCATCGTGGCCGTGTGGCTCGTCTCGGCGCTCATCTCCTTCCTGCCCATCGAGATGGGCTGGTGGAAGAGCGAGGCTGCCGCCGCGGCGAACAACACTGCGGAGGACGTCTGCGAGTTCAACATCAGCCTGGAGTACGCCGTGGCCTCCTCGTCCGTGTCCTTTTACCTGCCGCTCACCGTTATGATCATTCTCTACTCCAAGGTGTTCCGCGAAGCGCGGAAGCAGATGGAAAAAATAAACACCAGCGAGGGTCGCTTCTACAACAACGCGAACGACAGCGCGACGATCAAGAACCCGGCGAGGAAGCTCTCCAGGTTCCTGTCTCGCAAGGAGCACAGAGCGCTCAAGACTCTGGGGCTCATCATGGGCACCTTCACGCTCTGCTGGCTCCCGTTTTTTGTCGTCAACATCGTGCAGGTGGTGTGGAACTGCGTTCCCACGGGGGTCTTCGTGTCCCTCAACTGGCTTGGCTACATCAACTCCGCCTTCAACCCCATCATCTATTGCCGCAGCCCCGACTTTCGCTCCGCCTTCGAGAGGCTGCTGTGCTGCGGCCGCTTGGTCGGGAGGCGGAGGAGGCGGAGAGGACGCGGACGAAAGGACAACAACGAGCTGGGCCAGTGCACGTCGTGGCCCATTTGCCCCGACTCTGGCTCCACGCAGGGCTACGTGGAGCGCTGCAGCGAGACGGGGACGACGCTCTGTGGCGCCAGCACCAGCAGCCAGGGCAGCAGCAACAGTGAGCAGAGCTTGGACACCAACGGGAACTCTCACGGCCTCTTGTCGGCCCTCTAAGGGCCATCCGTGGCGGAATTACGCTCGGCGCACTTTTGCGCGACAGTTACTTGGATGGTGGCGCGGGGTGGGTTGGTGTTGGTGGGGTGGGGGGTAGTCACTGAGGCTGACGATCTAGAGCCCTGATCCATGCGTTATTGTTGTGTCATTTGTTCAGCACACAGTTCTTATCTATCTAAGGGGAAGTTCATGTTAATCGGGGGCTGCGGAGGGGGGGGATGAACCCCCATCCCGCCCCGCGTCTCACTCTCCCGCTGTGAACTGTGATGCCTTTTTTATGTTTCGTCCAAATTTGTTTTGGACGAAACCGTGCCGATGCCTCCTCGATTGGGGCAATTCTCCAAAAGCGATGTGAAGTTAGGCTTACTTTTGTTGTTAAATCGACGTGCCAATCTGACCTGATATTACGATATCGGCAACGTTACATACGGTGACACAGACTCCAGCAAATGGTAAAGTGTGCCAAGGGACATGGTGTTTTGGTCAGGTGTGATCTCACGCCCAAGATGTACGCAGGCTCCCATTGCATGTCATGCACAGTGTCACTCCACTGTTGGATGAATGCCTCCGTACGTTGTCGGTAATTCGTGGTTGTTGGACCATAATTTACCACGCTGATCAGTGCTCTAGTTAGGGCATTTTACGTCCTTTCTTGTTGAAAGCATTTACAATTCCACAGCTTCAGAACTGCACATACCTCTCTCTCATTGTATTATTTATTATCGTGGTTCTGGTGTATGTAGTCCGACCCGTATAGATTTTGTTTTTTTGCTTGTTACTACCTCAGGTCGTTGTTTTAGCGTTTTTTTAATTTCTTTTTAATTATTCTTTTGCTCAAACGCGCGAGTCGTGCGGACACTCGCGCGTGGTATGGCAATGGCACCGAACGCAATGTTGTCATTGTATCCCCCTCTTACGACGAGCGATAGCAAATGTTTGCCAGACTCCTGCTGAGAAGACGTTCGCAATTGTTGTTTTGCACTTTGCCTGCACAGCCAGTTGAATAGACAACGCGTATGCCCCGAGTGGGTGAACTTACCACTCGCGGCGATGAAGAACCAAACAGCACAATCACGTGTGTTGCTGCTGCTGCTGTTGTTGTTGTTGAAAGTAATTTGCTAAGACAAATGCTATTTTCTTTCACGGACGACACAATGTTAATAACATTTAAGCACCTTAGGGGACAACCTTAGCAGCCTTTTTTAAAATTGAATGTCCGTCGACTGATATTCCATTCGTGTTGAAATGTGTATTGCGTATCACAGTGTACTTGGTAATGAATTTACAAAAGATTACGTATACGCAGTATACGTGCACATGGTATGTACATGTGTATATATGCACCTACCTTTGTATATACTGTAGGATATACTGTATTTTTTTTACAGACACTTCGCGTTAATCCGCAATGATAAATCGCCAACCCAACGCGGACATTGTACGCGGAACGAGACACGTGGAACTATGCTTGAACATTTCGCTACTGCACCGCACGGAGGAGGCACGTGGGCTCCCGCAGTGGAGCCGGCTTCTGGATCAGCAGGGTAGTGCCACCGTTCGTCCATTTGACATTCTGTATCACTCTCTCTGTGTGTGTGTGTCTTTCTGGCGGCCGTGCCATGTGTTTTCGACTTGTATCGCTGGTCGTTGAGCATCACCGCCCGACGTTTTCGCTCCACCTGCTGGGGAGATTGTTCAGCAGCGCGTGGAGCGAAACGTCGGACATCGACACGCGCACAATGCGTTGTTCGGCTTGATTACCCGACGTTTCGCTCCGCGTGCTTGGAAATTCTTCAGCAGCACGTACAGCGAGACGTCCTGACATCATGCTTAACAACACGCGGTACAACCCGAACGTGCATCCATCAGAGAGAGCTGCACGCATGTGCGCGAACACCGACGTGAATATTCGCTATTACTGCTGGCTGTGAGCTACTCTCCGCCACTTTGAATAGAGCCTCATCACGATCAATAGTCACCTTGACAGGATCATTACCAGACTGATCAGAACACGTTATCGTTCTCTTTATTTATTAACTATTTTGCAAAAACAATTTAGTTCGACCAATCCATCCGCAAACGATGGTATTTATTTATAACAAATCGATATATAATAATCGCTCGATTACAGAGCGGCTTAATGGGAGAGGTCTGCGAGGGTGTGTGTGTGTATATTGATACTGTATTGCATAAGAGTGGGCATTATTGTCTTAATGTGCACACAACTCATATGAATGATGTGCAATAACCGACGCGTATACGTACAGAAGCCTATACTGCACTGTTGTAAAAAAAATAAATGTAACAGTATACGTTTCGTACTGTTTATTTTTGTAAATTTTATAATGACGTAAGGCTATTTAATGGGTACAACCTCGCGCGTGACGCCATACTGTGTAATTTAAGTGTTTGCTATACCTGTACATGTTCCGACTTGAGAAAAATGCATAAAATTGCACTGATTCATCTCGACCGTGAGTGTGTACGCGCGATTTTTTCTTATAAGCTCGAGTTTGCATGCAGTATATCAGCGCTAAGGGATTGGCAAATTAAGCAAAAGCGTGAAGTCCCCAAGTAGCTCAAGGGAGCCACGGAGTCGTGAGAAACACAATAAACACAGGAGTGCATCAAATACCTTTATCACCTCCAACTCAGTTGCTAACACGTTAAAACAGCTCATAATAACTATTGTTAGCTTGTGATGAACGAATAGATTACCTTCGCTCATTCACAAACAAATTTGAAGTAATTACGTTATGGAGCTTGTCCAGCATATACGGTATTGTCCGGATTATAAGATACTAGGGAAAGTAAGACGCACCTACACACTTGTGCCCGGTGTGAATACAAGTTACACAAATCTAGGCCATAACGCACACGTCTTACCGGATTATAAGACGCGCCCTCATCTTTTCCCATATATATGACAAACAAAAACTTGCAGGTGCTAAAGTGCGTGTCTACAATGCCGAGCATACGAGTGACGTATCTGTTGTGTTCAGGTGGACGCAACGACGAAACCCATTCCTGCTTGGGGCTACCCGATGGGCCAGAGCTCCCCATGCCGCGCACGCACGCGCACACGTTCTGCGTGCAGCTGTGCGGGGTTTGTGTTGTGGCAACTGAGAGTCGCGCGCGCGGAATGCGGCTGCATTTGAGTCGTCCCGACGTTGGACGCCTGGGGAACGCGGTTTAAACTGGTTTCCCTGACCAGTTCGGATGCTATCGAAACAGGCGTGGTGCTCCCCCTCGGCCGATTATCATCAAACTCGTGGTGGTTTTCTTTGGGGATGATTCCCCGAGTCAAGTTTACTGACGTTCATCATGACGCAGTGGGGTGAGCGACTGTGCGGTTTGAGTGTGGGGTAGCGGTAAAGTGGAGCGGTTAGCGCTACGCTGCGCTTCGAACCTGGCGACCCGAGTTCGATTCTCGCTCACGGCCAACAGCACCAGTGACGAATATCTGAACCGGTCTTTTGGGCCTCCCCTAGGTCGTCTCAGCCTCAAATGAGTACCTGGTGCGGTGCGTAAACATCGCCACTAGGGAGACAAAGGCAGCCGGTCGTGGTTGTTGGCCACCCACCCCCCTCGTGTGCCGTTCCGGCCTTCATAGGTGCTCGCCAACAGCACTTGCCCCTACAGTCTGTTACAGGCTACACGGGGGATCTATGTTTTTGTATATTTATATCGGAGCTGGTGACTTGACTATTGAGTTGTGCAAGCGGTGCAAGGGGGGGGGGGGGGCAGGTTTCTGGCTACGAAGGTGGGTGAGGGAGGATTAAACCTCCAATTAGCACGGTTGGCTACGTACGGTGTGAAAGAAGTTCAATATACATAAAGACGTATTTCTACTTATCTACCTTTTAACACTCATTTCATTATTGAGGCTCCCTCCTCCCCCCCCCCATTCCATTCCTAAGGACCAGGACCCATGACCTCGCCAGCCACGCTGCTTCTCTGCCCGAACCCTGACCACACAATCAGGCCCTAGCACGAGCTCTCAACCCAGTGGCGTTGAGCTGCCGAGTGTGCAGGCCGTGCAACTGCACCGGCGCCCACGGGTCGGCGCCCGGCAACGAAGAGGGGAGGAACTTAGACAGGGGTGGGGGGAGTCTCCTATTTAATTGCCTGCAATAAGGTTCATGCCAACCACGATGTGCGCCACTATTCATAGGGCATGGCTGCTGCGCAGATTTCAAACACTTCTTGCGTGGCTCATGAGAAGGAAGCACAGCTTGCACAGCGATTGACTATTTTCATTTATGTGTGCGGAGCTTTTAGTGTTATCCGTCTTCGTAAATGTAGGTTTTTTTGTTGTTGTTGTTGTTGAATCCGAGTACTCCGGTTTCCTCCTACAATGCCAAACAGTCATTAATGGGACTGGCCAAATATGCCTCTTTAAAGTGAGTCCGGAGAGTCGGTGAGACCTTCCCGAGTAAGTATAGGGGGGCATGCATGCTAGGCTGTTTGGCAGTGCACCATAGATGTCTGCAATTTCTGCTGAGCGTACGAGGCCTTTGAAAGTGATACCTGACAGCAAAGCTAACATTTCCCTTTTAAAAATAACAGCTTCGATTTAAATAGCGTCTCAGTGAAACCGTATCTCAAACGCTGTACACAACAGTGGGTCTCGTGTGAATTATATGTGAAAAATTAGGCCTTTTTATTTGGTATTTTTTTCAAAGAAACGAGACGTCGAGTCCAGAGGAGAAAGGGAACGTCTTGAACCTGGACTTGAACGGGGTCAGTCGACATGGATCACCGATGGGAGAGAGTTCCAGATTATGGGGGCTGCAAAGGAGCGACGACAGCAACACAATGAGATCATTACCAAGGCCAAACCTATTGTCAAGGTGTGCGTCATGATCCCACTCGGATCGATGCAAAGGAAACCACTCAATCCACTAATCTGTACGCGGGCACGTGCACGGCTGCGCAAAAGCGTCCCACAACGTCTGTGACTCATATACGCTCCCACCCCTCCACCGCGCGTTGATGTATTTATTTCCACGGGCCTTTTGTCAATTTACTGTGTGGATGACGGCAATCTCCTCGCTGCCATGCGAGTCGTCCGGCCCAGCTGACCATGCTTTCACCGCGCTGGTCGGCTGGTGAAAGCGAGTGGAATAGACGATGGAGCGAAGTTCAGTAGAATCATTTGAATTTTTTTCTTTTTCCGCCGCTCTCTGCTGACAACGCAGGGTCGTTGCAGTCAACATCTGCGTTTTTGGTTGTTGGTCGTCGCCCATCCAAGCACTACCCAGCCACGATCCAGGCTTAAAACCTGCTGAGCTTCCGCGATTTGTCGAAAGCGGGGTGCATTTCGCCGATACGGTCAGCTAAAAATACGGTATACTCTACCGTATAAATGTTAATCGGTGCAATTACCTGACGCATGCTTCTACAACTTGAACACAAACTGACAAAGTTGCATAAAGAAGCAATGGAGAGATGCGTACTTGGGTTCCCCATTGAGACACAGAAAGGCGAACATGTGGATGAGAGAGCGTATGCAAGTTTACAAAATCGTTTAAATGGTTAGGCAAGTGAACTTGAGCGGAACGAGACGTCGCCTGAAGGGATGATGGCAGATGGCCAAAAATAGTGACAGGCAGCCAAGGAACGGAACGCGTCCCAGAGGACACCCACCGAGGAGATGGAGTCTTTAAATCGGCTCATGGTCAAGGTGTTTGTGTGGATCGTTGCATTGAGAGGGATGGCAGGCAGGCTGTGGGGAAGCTTTATCCAGCAGTGGATTGACCAAAGCCGCTGCTAATAAGGATCGCGGTTATACATCATCCATGCAAATGATGAATAAGCAACAGCGGGCGCATTATCTTTTTTGGGCTAAAATAATCAGTCATGTGATTTGATAAGCGCTAAAATACGCAGACCCCCACTTCGTGTAGTCATGTAGGCACGGCGAACTTTGCAATAATCAAGGTGAAGACAGCAAACAACTGGGGTTTGTTTTTCTCTCGTTGGGAATAAAATAATGGTAAGTTTTGTTCATGATTTATTGTGAACTACTTGTGTGGCGATCGATCTCTGTCGTAACAACAATTCGAGGCGTCGTGGTGGGGCAGCAGAGGGCAGTGCATCAACATCCATCGTTGGACTGTATTTCGATGTTAATTTTTAAACTAATCCGTGTGATGTGATCAACAAGTATTGCGTCGCAACATATTCGAGGCCACGTGGTCGGCAGAAGAGAGCAGTGCATCAACATCAATTGTTGTACGGTATTTCTATGCTTTCGCGTTTATACCGCCTTATACTGTCCACAATTCCCGACCAAGGCGAACATAGATAGCAAGTGATATCTGAACTAATCCAGTCCCCCCATTCACCAACTGTCACTGACCAATTGTGGTGAAGTATGGTCAAGTAACCTCAACGGCGTGGGGGAGGCTTTCGTCTAGCAGTGGATTGACAAACGAGCTGTGCACGCGATGTGCATGCAGAATAACACGATCCTTACGCACGGCATGCCCACACTGGCCAAAATATCCGGGTGCTTCAACAAAAAATACATCTTGCATTGTGCCTTTGTTAATACAATTGAGAAACCTTATACGGAGCTTCCACAATCGGACTTACAGCGCCCTGGGTGGAAATGAGCGGTAAAAGCACGTGCGTGCTGTTTCACGTGGTGAGCAAAGACAAAGATCCCCCGTGTAGCCTTAACAGACTGTTGGGGCAAGTGCTGTTAGCGAGCCCCTATAAAGGCCGGCACGGTACACAGGAGGGGATGGGTGGCCAACACCACGTCCGGCCGCCTTTGTCTCCCCAGTGTCGATGTTTACACATCTCACCAGGTATTCATTTGAGGCTGAGTCCGACTACGGTTCAGATAATTATCGTCACCGGTGTTGGCCGTGAGCGGGAAACCAACCCGGGTCGCCAGGTTCGTAGCGCACTGAATGGAACGCTTCCAGGAGTCCGTCATCAGATGAGATGGAGCGAGTAATGGTACTCGTTCAGAAGTCGGCAATCTGTGGCTCTTTCGTTAATGTTATTTCAGGACCACCGTCTCATGTTCACATGCATTGCGGCTTTTCAAATTCTGTTTTACCGAATTCGAAAAAAATTCCATTCTTGTTATTTTGGGTTGTCGACCTCTATACGAGGTGTTGCATTGTAGAAACAAGGGGTGAGGAGAGGCCTTCATCTAGCAGTGGGTTGATCATGGCTGATGATGCTACTTGTGGGCATGCTTTTACACCTGCAGGTGTTAGGCGTTCACTGCACAAGAGGTGACAGTTCATACATTGCGGTTCAAATGACGAACAATAATTCAGAGCTTCACTTATAAACGATGATAATTAGAATTGTTGGTGCGGTGAGTGCCACTTAATTAGAAACAAAACGTGCCCGTGTATTATTTTCAATTTGCTCTGCTCGGGCAATGTGTAACACAGGTCACCCTTAATATAATTTTCATAACGCGTTATTTGCCACACCCCAAGTTG